GTGGCCTTGAGGGAGAGGAAGGTATGGGAAGGCAGCGAGCTGCCTCCATGGGTGACCTGGGCTCCTTTTATCCTCCTGGTGAGGGAGGGATCCCACTGTGTTTGCCCCATTCCCATGCAGACCCTGAGCTCCTTGCTCAATTTCTGAGTGAAATAAAAACACCTTCTGCCCCTACTGCCCCGAGCACCCTGCCAAACCCCACGGCGCCCACAGGGGAGCTCTGCAAAGGGCACCCCATGGGGACAGGCACAGCCCAGGCTCTCCGTCTGTCCCTCAGCCTTGAAGGCAGCCCAGCGGGCCCAGTGTAGCTAGCCAAAGGGAAAGCTTCCAGGGCCGGGAGGTGGCTTACAGACGTCTGCTGGAGGTGACAAAGGACAGAGACATCAGCCAGCTGCTGAACAGCTTCGTCAAAAGGGAAGAGAAAAACTTTGCCTCCTTCAACTACGTCACGGAGCTGAACAATGATCTGGAGAAGAAGGAGCAGAGGGCCAAGGACCTCCAGGTCTGTTCCAGGCTCTTCATCTCTCCCCTTTCTCAGCTTGTGCTTTCAGGCTGGGGTGCGTTTTTCCTCCGCCATGTGTCCTGCACCACCACCCACAGCAGAGCCCAGCTCGCAGGGTTGGACAAGAGGGATGCCAAGGGGTAGCCAAAACTCGAGCTTCAACAGACAGAACATTGCCTTCTCCAAGCTACCGTGTCTCAGTGCTGCCACCGTGTACCCAGCAAAAATCCTGCAGGAGCCAGGAGGGCCAAGAGCTGCCTCAGCTGAGTGGGGGCTGGCTGGAGCGAGAGGTGTTGCCTGTGGTGGGGTCATCACCTGCCCTCCTGCCCTGCGGACAGTGGTCCCCACAGGGTTCCAGTGGGATGTCCCTGCTCCCCAGGCAGAGGGATGGTGCCCAGCCTCTGTCAGACATGTCTGCTGGGCATCTAGCCAGTGTCCCATCCGTGTGTTTTGTTTATATAGAGTGAAATTACAGCCCTCATGATGGACCAGGAGCATGCAGAGAGCAGCAGCCTTCAAGCCCTGAAGGAACTGGAGGTATGGTGACAGGGATTTCCCTCTGCAAGGGCAGCAGAGCCCTGTCTGTCCCAGCATACGTCCTAGGCAGCCTGGTCCTGCCAGTTCTGCTCTGGCCAACGTCTGGAGAAGCATGGGCAAAAAAGGGCTGTGCACCTTTTTTGGCAGTCCTGTGTCCCAGTGCCTGGTGAGGGGATGACTGCAGGGCTCCTGCCAGCCCTGGTCCTCCAGCACCCAGGGCCTCATCTGCAGCCTGGGGAGCTGGGGATCCCCTTCCCAGGGCCTTTCCCTTGTGGAGCTGGGAGCATCCCACATCCTCTCCTGGGATGGCTCCAGTGTCCAGACTGGAACTGGACAGCACTGGGGTATGGGGGAGAGCAAGGGGCGAGTGTGACACCTGCCAAAACCTTTCCTGACAGGAAAAACTGAAGAAAATCACTAAGGAAGCCAATCAATACGAAGAGAGATGTCAACTGAGCAGCAAAGCTCTTGCCCAGAAAATATATGACTTGGAGGCCCTGTGCAAAGAGATTAACTGTGACACAGCAAACATAAAGGAGCAGCTTGGAGAAAACAAGCAGAACATGGATGTGAACCTGAAGCAGGTTTTTGGTGAGTCAAAGCTGCTCACCTTCCCTTACCACATGGTCCAGACCTTGTACGTCCACTCCTCCCTGGCACGGTGTTTGAACAGAACCGGGTCTTTCCCCCTGCCCTGTCATTCGTGGGTGTCCAGCATGTGAATCTGTGGTGCCAGATTTCCAGCCAATTCAGGAGCATTAGCTGTAGGAACATCCCAGTGGAACCCCAAGCCCTCCCCTTGGCTCTGTGTGTGGGATCCAGCCTTGAACCCACGGCCCTGGGGAGACACTCTGCCCGATGGCATCACCTCGGGGAAACCAATGGATCCCCTGCTCAGCAACCAGCCAGGGGTGGGCTTGGGCAAGGGTCCCAATGAATGGTGCTCCCTCCCCCCCAGGTCTCCTTGAGAAGAAGGTGCATGAGCTGCTGCTGCTGGAGTGTGTCCTGCGCTATACCTCAGCCGATGGCTCAGATCCAGACCAGCCATTCATCAGCCCGCTGCTGGGTGGCTCCGATCCCCTCCAGGAGCTGGATCAGGCCAAGCTCTACCCACCGCCCCCCACCCTGGGCAGCAGCGCTGAGCCCATCAATGCCTGTGAGTGTGGGAGGTGGGAGGTGGGAAGGAAGGGCTGTGGCCACACAACCAGCCAACCCACAATGGCCCCATGGCCAGCTGGTCAATCCCTGGATCTCACCTGTGCTCCCCACCAAATCCCAATGGCCTGTCCCACCCCTCCAGGTCTGTCAGACCTGTGATGGTGTGTGTGACACCTTGGCCATCTTCTTGGGCAGGTGAAGTGCCGCTGGACCACAACCAGCTGCGCCAGCTGGTTCTGCAGAGCCATGAGGAGCACCAGGGCAGTGCCACCAAGGTGGACAAGAAGGGGAGGAACAGCAGGAAGATGTAAGAGCCCAATGGGGATGAGGTAAATAAACAGTTTTACTGTTGAGCTCCTTCTCTGTTTCTGTGCCCTGGACATAGTTCCATCTCCCTTCCCCCCTAGAAAGAGCCCAACACCTTCTGCAGGCTTCAAACCCTTGCCGGGTGATATTTTGGCATAGCTTCACCCACTGCTGGCAGCGGCTGCGTCTGGGAGTGGGAGCAGCTGCTCACCACCGGGGTGTCATCCCTGTCACCCTGCCCAGGGAGCTTCCTGCAGCCAGGCACTGCACGGCTGCTAGTGAGGAGATGGGGACCATGGTCCTGGTCTTGCACCGTGCCTGCTCCGAGGGCCCAGGGAGGGTATGGGGGGACACAAGGGGATGGTCTCGCTGGCTGGGTGTTCCCTGCCAAGCTGGGAGAAGCAGGCAGCCTAAAGTAAAGCTGAGCTCAGTGCTGTCCTGGGATGATGGGGCCAGAGAGCTGCTAGCCCCAGCTCAAAGGAAAACGGGCTGTTTGGAGCTGGGAGCCGGGCCAGGCTGGGAGTCGGTGGGGCAGAGGGACTTGAGGGCACGTGGGGGTGATGTGCAGTGGGGCCAGGAGGCTGGGGGCAGCAGCGGCCGGGCACG